TGGTGGCATGACACATATAGGACCTTTATGTTTCCAGGCATGAAGCATATATGAACAGATATGAAGTAGTGGTTTGAAAGAAAATGGCCCCCAAAGGGAGTTGCACTATTAGGAGGTGTGACCTTGTTGGAGAAAGTGTGTTACTGTGGGGACAGGCTTTGAAGTCTCTTTCTCAAGCTTCCATCAGTGTGATAGTTAGTCAACTTTCTGTTGCCTGCAAGATGTAGTACTCTCAGCACCAGCACCATGTCTACCTGCATACCGCCATGCTTCCTGTCATGATGATAATGGACCGAACCTCTGAAAGTAAAGTAAGTGCCCCCAATTACAATGTTTTTTTGTAAGAGTTGCTATGGTCATGGTATCTCTTCACAGCAATAAAAACCTAAGACACTGACTGAAATTTTGCTTGATATTACTAGAAAAGTTTTTAAACAAAAGAAAGAAAGTCTACATTGAATCATGACAAGAGGGAATCTTGGTCCATGAATTAATTTCAATACTTGAGCCTGTATGCAAACCCAGAACCCCTTGAATAAAGGGACAGCTAGGTTTCCCTGAGGAAGGACCTTAATAAAACACCTAAAAGTTTTACTGTTAGCCTTTTCCCAGTCCTTCCCCCAGAAGGATACACTACCTTTTAAAAGGGTAACTATACACTGGTAAAGGAAGCAATCAAATGTTCCAGGGTTTGTTGGATATTGGTTCTAAATTGATGCTTATTCACAGAGATCTCAAGAAACATTGTGACCCTCCAGTTAAAGTAGGGACTTATGGAGGACAGGTGATTATGTAATTTTGGTTAATATCTGAATTACAGCAGGTCCAGTAGGTCCCCAAACTCATCCTGTGGTTATTCTCCAGTTCCAGAATGTACAATTGGGATAGATATATTTAGAAGTTGTCAGCATTCTCACACTGACTCCCTGACCTCTGGAGTAAGGGCTATTATGATTGTAAAGACTTAATGGAAGTCTTTAGAATTGTCTCTGTCAGGGAAAATAGTGAATCAAAAACAGTATTTATGAAATCCCTGCAGGAATTGCAGAAATTAGTGCTACCATCAAGGAGTTGAAAGATCTAGGGGTGGTGGTTCCCAGCACATCTCCCTTATTCTATCTGACTAATGCAGAAGACAGAGAGATCATGAATTATGACAATTAACTGTTGAAAACTCAATCAGGTAATGATTCCAATTGCAGCTGCTTTACCAGGCATAGTGTTTTCTTTTTCTTTGTTTTTCCTTTTTTTTTGATTATTTGAGACAGGGTTTCTCTGTATCTTTGGAGCCTGTCCTGGAACTAGCTCTTGTAGACCACGCTGGCCTCGAACTCACAGAGATCTGCCTGTCTCTGCCTCCCGAGTACTGGAATTAAAGGTATGTGCCACCACTGCTCAGCCAGGCATAGTGTTCTTAATTGAGCAGATTAACACATGTCCTGGTACATGATATGCAACAGAAACAATTTGCTTTCCATTGGAAAAACCAGAAGTATACCTTTACAATTTTGTCTTAAGGATATATTAATCCTAAAGCCCTGTGTCATAGCTTAACAAGGAATCTCGACCATCTGTCTTTTCCAATATTACATGGGTGCACTATATTGAAAAATAATATGTTGATTGGATCAAGTGAGCAGATAGCAACCACTCTGAACTCGCTGATTATACACATGCACATCAGAATATGGGGAATAAATCCAAACAAAATTCAAGGACCTTCTGCCTCAGTGAAATTCTTTGGAGTCCAGTGGTATGGGGCACGTGGAGATATTTCTTCCAAAGTGAAGGATAAGTTATTGCACCAGGCTCCTCTCATCACCATGAAAGAAGCACAATATTTAGTGGGCCTTTTGGGATTCTAGAGATGGTACATGCCTCACTTGGGTGTGTTACTTAGGCCTATATACCAAGCAACTCAGAAAGCTGCAAGCTTTGTGTAGAACCAAAAACAAGAAAAGAATCTTCAACAGGTCCAAGCTGCTGTGTAGATTGCTCTACTACTTAGACCATATGATCCAGCAGACCTGATGGTAGTGATGGTAGTTGATGTGTCAGTGGCAGACAGGCAGGCTATTTGGAGCTTTTGGCATGCTCCTATAGGTGAATGGATAATAGCAGAGACTGTAGTTGGACTTTTTCATCAGGATCACCAGGACCTTTTCATTGGGTTCTTTTCATCTGGACTGCCAGCTCCCCAGTAATAATACAGAGACATCGTCTTAATTTTAAAAGAATGGCCAATATCTTAGACTTGTTACTAATTAACCCTTACTACTTAATCCATTTTTATCAATCTACATATTGCTACATAGCTTGTTGCTTTACCTGTCCTCCAGTACACCTTGCTCCCTCTGCATCTCCTGACAACCCTATCTGTCTTCTTACTAGCATTCTCTGTGTCTGGCTGCCCCACCTATACCTCCTGCCTAGCTAATGGCTGTTTAGCTTTTTATTAAACCAATAAGAAAATGCCTCGGCAAAAACACATCTTCACAGTGTTCAAAAAGATTATTCCACAAAAGAGACTTTTGTGATTTGGGAGAAAGGTTCTACTATTGCCTACAGACAACTAGTCTCCTTTTGAGAGACAGCTCTGTTAATACACCTGAGTAGAAACTGAATTTTTGACACTGGTGCACCAAGTTACCATGTGACCTGAGCTGCCCATTGTAAGCTGTGTGTCATCTGACACACAAAGTCATAAAGCAGGATATGCACAGCAAGAATCTATTATCAAATGAAAATTATATATATTCATATATACATATACATGAATAAATTACCAGGTCCAAGCAAATCCCAGAGGCACAATCAAGTTACATGAAGAAGTTGCCCAAATGCCTATGGTTTCTACTCCCATTACAATGACATCTGCCTCCATAAGATTGGTTGACTGAGCAAGAGAAGACTAGGGCCTGTTTACTTGTGATTCAACATGTTAATGCAGGTACCACTCAAAAGTGGATAGCTGTAGTGTTATAGCTACTTTCTGGAACAACTCTGAAAGATATAGGTGAAGAGAAATCTTCATAGTGGGCAGAAATTTGTGTATTACACATGGTCATACATTTTGTTTGGAAGGAGAAATGGCCAGATGTGTGATTGTTCACTCATTCATGGTCTCTATCTAATGGATTGGCTGGATGGTCAGGCACTTGAAAAGAACATGATTGGAAAAATCAGTGAGAAAGACATTTAAGGAAGAAATATATGGATAAATCTCTCCAAATAGGTGGAGGATGTGGAAATATTTGTGCCCCATGTAAGTTTTCATCAAAGGGTGACTTCAGCTGAAGAGAAATTCAATAATCAAGTAGATAGAATGACCCATTCTTAGGACAGTCAGCCTCTTTCCCCAGCCATTCCTGTCATTGCCCAGTGAACCCAAGAACAAAGTGGCCATTGAGGCAGAGATGAGGGATACACACAGACTTGTCAACATGAACTTCTATTCACCAAGGCTGACCTGGCTATAGTTGTTGCTGAGTACCAAGCAGAGATCAATGTTGAGCACCAGATAAGGCACCATTCCCTGGAGTGACCAGGTTGATTGCACTGGACCAACTTCCTCTGTGAAAAGGACAACTCTTTGTCCTTACTGGAGCAGATACTTATTCTGGTTATGGATTTGCATTTCCTCTATTTAATGCTTCTGCCAAAACCACCATCCGTGGACTAACAGAATGCCTTATCTACCATCATGGTATTCCTCACAGTATTGCTTCTGACCAAGGAACTCACTTCACAGCCAGAGAAGTGTGACAGTGAACCCATGATCATGAAATCCACTGGACTTACCATGTTCCCCACCATCCTGAAGCAGTTTGTTGATAGAGAGATGGAATGGCCTTTGGAAGACACAGTTACAGTGCAATTAGATGGCATCAGCCTGTAGGGTTGGGGCAAGATTCTCCAGTATGTACTTTGAATAAGTGTCCAATATGTGGTGCTGTTTCTCCCATAGCCAGGATCCAAGGGTTTAGGAATCAAGGAGTGGAAAAGGGAATAGTTTCAGTCACTATCATCCCTAGTGACCCACCAAGAAAAATTTTGCTTCCTGTTTTCATGACCTTAAGTTATGCTGGCCTAGGAGATTTTATTCCAGGTGAGGGTGTACACTCCTGCCAGGAGCCACAACAAACGTCTGACATTTCCCTGGTCACATGGAACTTCTGATGTCCTTAAGTAAACAGACAAAGAAAGAAATAACAGAGTTAGGAGAGGTGACTGATCCAGATTATCGTGAGGAAATTGGATTGTTTCTCCACAATAGAGGAAATCCTTTAGGGTGTTTCTTGGTGCTACCATGTTCTGTGATTAAAGTCAATGGAAAACTATAATAACCTAATCCAGGCACAATGCCGAAGGGCACAGACTTGTCAGGAATAAAAGTATGGGTTACTCCTCCAGGAAAAGAGCCAAGACCTGTTGAGGTTCTTACCAAGGGTGGAGGAAATACATAGAATGGGCATTAGAGGAAGATATTTATAAATCCCAGTTAAGGTCATGTGACCAGTTGCAGAAACAAAGATTATAATTACATGAATGTTTCTGTCATACTTTTAAGAATGCATCTGTACAGATATTTGTGTTTTCTTTATTCAATTCATAGATCACGTGAGTAACAATAATTGACTATTAATGGTTATTATGTTTAAGTTTCAGTAATTGAAAGAATGTCCCTCAAAGGACATTGCCACTGTTTTAAGTAAGTTTTCTATTTCTGTGAAGAGACACCATGGCCAAGTTTCCCTTTATTAAAAACAAAAAAACAAAAAAAAAACACTTAACTTTACTTACAGTTTCAGAGGTGTAACTCATTATCATCATGGCAGTATGGCAGCAAGCAGGAGGGCATGGTGATGTTGAGATAGCTGAGAACAAACTGGAAGACAGAGAGTGCCACTGGGCCTCACTTGGGCTTCCGAAATCCCAAAGCCCAAGCTAGTGACACACTTCCTCCAACAAGGCCACACCTACCCCAACAAGGCCCCTCCTCCTAGTCCCTGGATAATGGTACTCTCTAATGACCATGCATTCAAATATATGAGCCTCTGGGGTCATTACTATACAAACCACCACAGCGGCTTATTCTAAATTTACTATGCATTTGAGGTTGTACAAGGGAAAGTTATATCATATTAGGCATAAATTTGACCTAGTTAAATACATGATGCATTTGCAACTGTATATTGGATAGTTATATCATGTTAAGGTATTATTATGACCTAGTTATTGTTTTCGTTTGGAAATTAATTACTACATAAGTAAATATGATTGTGTGTCAAGTTTACAAGGAGTGGACTTGTGATATTTATTCTTGATTGTGAACTTGACTACATCTAAAATTAACTAAAAAATCCTAAAATGGAGGTCACACCTGTGAGGGATTTTTGTTTAATTTGAAATTGGAAAATCAATTTCTAATGCATATCTTTGAGGCAGGAAGACATATATTTAATCCAGATCTTTTAATCTGGGAAAACTCACCACTAATATGGGCCAAACATTCTGCTGGAAGTCTACATAAGGATATGGAATAAAGAAGTTTTTCTCTTTGTCTGCTTGCTTGCTCTCACCTCACTAGCAAGTCTATTACTTCACTGGAATTAGGGCCTACTTCTTCAGGATTCTGGCATAGATTGAAGACCAGTTGAGACATCCAGTCTTGTGGACTGAGCAGCTACTTGATTTTTGGACCTTACATTCACGAACATTTTCTACTTATATATAGAGAGATTCATTCTATAAGTTCTGTTGCTCTAGTGAACACTGACTAATATATGGGGCTTTCTTTTCCAACTATTTTCAATCCATGACTGGATGAATCTGTGAATGTGGAACCTGCAGATGAGAGTGACTCATGAAATGAAGATGATCAGTAAAGAGTTAACAGTTTCAAAGAAACAAAGGGAAGACATAGCATTGAAAAGGATAATAGGTAAAGTGAAAAATCATGACTAGAGATGCTCAACAGTAGAGTTAAGCTGTCAGAAGGAAGTCTCCAGAAGATGGAACAGAGATCAAAAGTGATCATGCCATCTGAAGAATACAAAACAGTAAGAAAGAAGACGTGTGTTCCAAACAAGCCATGCCAGCATTTGAATAATGAGAGTGCTAGACAGAAAAAGACAAGGTCAGTCAGATAAAATATTTGAAACAATGTTTGAAATCTGATGAAATACTTCCAGTTTTCAACGTTAAAACTCTTCCAAGAATATAAATAAACTGTGAGTAGGTTGAAGACAAAGTGATACACAGCCAGACACATCATAGGTAGCAATCAGTGGACAAAGGGTCTTGAAGGCAGCAAAAGAAAAATGACTGATAAAGTACAAGAGGATCATAATGAGGTGAATAACTGACTTCTCACCAAAAACAACAGAGGCCAAAACCTAGGGAAATGACACATTCAAAGTTCAGAGAGAAAAATATTTGCTGCCAAAAAATTCTGTGTTCAGCAAAGTTATCTTTCACAATTAAAAATGAACAGAAACATCTCCAGAGAAATAGCAACTAAGAAATTTTATTAATGGTCTACATACCTTATGTTCTTCAGACCAAAAGGAAAGGACCGAACAGCAGTTGTAGTACATTCTTTCAAAGCACAGCAAAATTCAAAATGATCATTGGTGATAATTAAGTGCCATTTGTTTTGTTTGCAACAAGGTAGCCCAAGCTGGTCTTCAATTTGCAAATCCTCTTACTGTGGCCTCCCAGGTGCTACCATATCCTCCTGTTATGATTTTTAAAGCATAATTGTATGGTTTCTCTTTTCTTCTCTCTAAATATTTAAGAAATAACTACAAAAATCATAATTAAACCATATGACTAGGTTTTCAACATGTATGGAGGTGACATATAGGACAATTACAAAACAAACCAACAAAGATGTTATGGAACTATGTAGGAGCAAAGAAATGACAGCAGATTACTTCAGAAATCATAGGAAGAAATGAGGAGTGCCAGAAGTGATAAATAAGCCAACAAATACAAAATGTTTTCTAAACATATATTCTCCCTACTTCTCTGGCATTTGTCCAAAGAAAAAAGATCACATAAAATATGGTATAGCATTATGATTTCAATCTGATATATCTCCCCTTTTTCCTTTGTTGAAAACTTGGTTCCCATGTGACAGTGGTAAGAGGTAGTGCAAATTTTATGGGAGGACTTGGCTAAAAGAAATAGGTAAGTGGGGTAACATCCTTGAAGGGGACACTGGGCCTTTCTTCTCTCGCATGCTTTAGCCTTTTGTTGATCATAAGGTAGTCTTCTCACCACACACACAGCTATGTGCTATGCTAGATTGTCTTGTCACAGGGCCAAAGGCTCCAGAACCTAGATCCCATAAACGGAAAAAATAAACCAGGGTAATTGTTTTCCTCTTCTAAGCTGTCTTTCTTGGACATTTTGTCACAGCAATGAAAAGCTAACACACACACACACACACACACGTGTGTGTGTGTGTGTGTGTGTGTGTGTGTGATAAGATATATATGTGTGTCATAAGATATATATATATATATATGACTATTATATATATATATATATATATATATATGACTATATCTTATGGCAATAGAATCAGTCAAAGTACCAATCAGGAGCAGTTTATAGAAAATCACCCAGGTTTTTGACATCAATTGCAAGTTTGAAGGTTTCCCCCAAACAAATTCAGAATTGAAATTCATCACTTAGACTCACAGAACTTACCAAATTTGGGGCCTGGAGAGATGGCTCAGTAATTAAGAGAACAAAATATCCTCTTTCTACAATAGAAGGCAATAAAGGAAGGACAAAGAAATAAAAAAAAAAACCATGAGACATCTTAAAGAGCAGGCTTTTAAATTTTCATCTTTTTTTTTTTTGCTTGCCTTTTGAAAGGGTTGCATGTACTTTAGACTGGCCTGGAGCTTACTATGTAGGTGAAGATGATCATGAATTTCTGTTCCATCTGCTTTCACCTTCCAAGTACTGAGATTGTAGGTATGTGTCACCATGACTGGCAAGCAGGCTTTTTAATAAACAATTAAGCATTGCTTCTTCCTATGGTAGGCCTTTGTGAGTATTTGCTAGTACTCTTGAACACATGGCATATTTGTATTCCACAGAGGAATGGGGAGAGTTGCCATTGTTATGGTTACCTCATAATCTTCATTATATCTGAAATGTGTAATGGTCCAGGAATCTTCTAGATTCTCTGAATAATCAGGCCAGTTCTTAGATTCGATCTTTCAGAATCAAGACAGATTATGTGTTCAGTTTCTAGTCTATGGATCTTAGCATATTCAGGATCTGTAGAAGTTCCTCAGAAGTTATTAATTGAAACCCATGAAAAGAAAATATGTTGACCATTTTATGTTATGTAGGCTGGCTACCACAGTGACCACCAATTCCTTCCAGATCTAGGCAATTTTAAATGCAAAGTGGATTGGAAAATCCATTTGTATTTACAAGATTCAAGATTGCATATAGTGTCACAGATGGCAGCTGTTATAGATTAACCACACAACTAACACTGATGTCCCCATCCATGAAATATCCCTCTCATAATTTCACCTTACTTGGTAGAGCAGGGAGCGTTTGGTTCCCAAAACAGAAACAAAGCAAATAAAACCTGTTCATACAGATGCAGAAGCTCTTTCTCCATAAAAGCTTTTGCTGAACTTCTAGTGCTCTGGCCCATGTTCAATATCCACCGTGTGGGCTCTGGCATGGGGCCCTATATAAACAAAAGATGGATGGACCTCATGGGAAATATGCTCACTACTCAGGCTCATAGTTTGGTACACGTTGAAAAGAGGGAAATAATTTTATAGGCCAATTGTTAATGAATCATGAGGCCATGGAAACAGAAGTGATTATCTTCAAATACGCACGGACTGACACATATTTGCTTACATGTTACCCACCTGTTGACAGCTATAGCTCATTGGTTTAATTCTTAGAAGAATACAAAGATTCTGGAGTCAGACTGGATCATGCCAGAGCTGTTCTGTGACTGCTTAGGTGAACGTAGCCAAGCTATTTGACTTGTTTAGCTTTAGTCTCCTCATCTGCACCTAATGCACAGGGGTGTGATGATTAAACAGCAGTAAGCTTGTAGCACATTGCACAGAAATCAAACTGAGATACAGCATCCCTCCATAAATGTGAGCAAAGAAGGACCATGAACACATCCTGAGGTCTCTTACAATTTTGCTAGGATCTCAGTGATAAAGCAGAAGTCTGAGACCCATAGGAGAAGGGAGTTGGAGAAAGTAGAAGCAACTTGCTAGTAGACAGTAAATATCTGGAAGGTAGAAGCTATTGTATACCTTTATCCCTTGAGCCCAGCTGAGGACCTGAGCAGAGCAGGTGTGCGGTGTCTTTAGAACTGAATAAATATCTGTTGAATACGGGATCTGGAGGCTTCTCCAAAATGGACTAAATACAAAAGCAATAATTACCAGCCGCAGCCAGAAAGAGTTAGTCATCATAATGGGTGTTGTAGGGGCCATTTATAAAGTGAATCATAGGGCCTGGCTAACTGTAATAAGGAACAAAAGTATCTGAATGAAAAGCTTCTTCAAAGATTAATACAGATTCAAGGTTATCACTATAGCAATGATGTAATTCAGTTATGCTTTATTGATTGGGTTTGCTCCTGAGAATGTATGCATGCTGACTGCAATGCAGACTGAGGCAAGTGGGAAAAAAAAAGACTTGCTGATTTAGGTTGCAGGCCAATTGGGATCCTTTGGCTAGAATGAATCACAACTATTTCTTTACTCTACTTTATTTTTGTCACTCCCCAAGATGAGGATTAGGGTTAGGGTTAGGGTTAGGGTTAGGGGTTAGGGGTTAAGGTTAGGGTTAGGATTAGGATTAGGGTTTTCTTCATATCTATCATACTTTTCATTAAATATATCTATCATGTCTTTCATTCAATATATTTATGTCTATATATGTCTATATGATTAATGTTTAACTTTTCCACAATGAACAATGAGTTTTTCCTGCAGTGACATTTGAAGTTTCCAGGAAGAACATAGGGCCCCATAACAACAACTCCACCTGGTTGAGATGATGTCATGATACTGATAGCGCTACTACAAGACCTGTTTTGGGTACCAGCTACACAAGACGATTCCAACTTGGTTAGCTGAAATGGTGCACATCTTGTACAACATTCTGGCCAGACCTCCACAAAATACTCAGAGACTATTTGCAATTTTAAAAGACATTGATCTTGAAATTTAACCATCATTTTACTTTCACAGGATCCCCCAGAAAGAACGTCGCCCCCATGACAGCTGGAACTAATTCTAGAGAACGACGTCCCCTCTCCCATTAAATTTGTCCTTGGGTTTAGGGACATCATTTAGGGGTTGGTTATAATTATTATACGGTTGAGGATTGGGGGAGGAATTCTATAAGCACAGGAATCTTTAAAAAAAAGAGGGATAATTGGATTATGGGATAATAGTTTTGTACTTGTGAGCTATTGTTTTTAGACAAACATACAAACATATTGGTATCGATTCTTATATATTGATACAAAGTTAAATTATGTTGACAATTTTATGCATGCATGCTTCTACCTCTGTTTAAAACATTTTTATGTTTTGATATATATATATATATTGTATTGATATATGTATATTTACCATATTGCATTGTACACTTCTACCTCTGATTAAGATACTTATATATTGTTTATGTATTGATATATATATTTACCATATTGCAATGTATACTTGCACATTGTTTATATTTGGAGGTCATATTGTCCTCATTTATTGCACAGTTGTTTATTATCTCAGTCTTTAAGTTAGATAGATATTGAGAATTATATAGATCAATAGTCATCTAAGTTTGTCATTTATAATTAGACTAATCAGGTTCTTTAGATACATAGAGATTATATTCAGTATAGATAGATAATCTTCAACCTCTTCAAAGAGCTGTAGAAAATGGCCTTTAATCTAATTCAGAGTTCTGTGGTAGGGAGACACAATTGCTCCTGGCAACACTGATCTATTCCTGAGTGAATGTTGAGCACCAAAGACACTCCACCTGGAGCCTTTCTTCTTGGCAGAACTGGCCTTTGGGTAAAGAAATGCTCATTACCTCAACTACTGACAGAGTTACAGAATATCCGTAAATGGATAAAACAGGACTGTCATATCCTGCCAAGACAGAGTAAGACAGTTTTGAAAAGTTTCTTGCCTTTGAAAATGGTATGTCAGTTACATCAGGCCTTAGCCAAAGTTGGTTGCTTCAACGCTGCAAACGTGACTTTGGGTGTTTGCCCAGGTAGCCAGTTGTCTCTGTGATTTGTTACATGTTATGGAAGTTGCTTGATTGCACTTCCCAATTACTCAGGTAGCATTATTTCCCTTCTCAGATCTTTGATGGGATTGAAGATTATATAAATGTAGTTACTTTCCTTTCATGACTTGGCCAAGTTATTTGTTATACAAGACTTAAGTTAGTTAGAATAGGATATTTGTATTTATTGTATATAATTTCGTAGGTTTGTACTTATTGTATATAATTTCATAGTAGGCTTAGAACTCTCTTACTTAAACAAAAGGGGGAGATGCTAAGGGAGCTCCTTCTGCTCCTTCAGCCAATCGCTGCTGAGTTACCAGCCCATTGGGGTGTGGTCTATCTCTCTTTAAAAAAAAGCAGCAGCTGTCCTCCACTCCCTCTTTGGCTTCCGGCTCCGCTTCTGGCTCCTAGACTCCTTTCCTATTTGCGCGGAGGGGCTGTTGTCTGGGACGGTAATCTGTAAGTTTTTTCCCCTTTGAATAAATAACCATTCTATTAATCATAATTCCAAACTGGTGTGGGATTGTCTGTGACTTACACCTTCGGGGGGGGGTCAAGGGTACTGCTGCCTTTATAGGAAATACCAAAGTAATCACTTTTGAAAGATTAATTTCAATGACATTACATCATAAATCATATATCTATCATCTTAGCACTTTACAGATGATAAACACTTTCATGGACATTACTGCTTGTTAAACATCCACCTTAGCTTAAGTGAATGACTGGGATAGAAGGAGCACAGACTTTGAAAGGATGTCCTTTAAGTAGAACTTGAGAGGTAGAGTCTTTAGCCATGGAATACATACCAGTTTGTGATGGATATTTTAGAGCAGACACCTGTCCAACAGTTCACCCCACACCCACACACTTCTCAAAAAAACTAAACTAAAATAAGAGTGGATGGGATTAGAATAAGTGAACCTTAAATATGCCATGTTAGCATAAAGATTATTTTGAGCTAAAAACAATTGAGAATCAACAGGTGTAAGCAAAGATTTTTATCTGTCTAAAAATAGGCCATAAGTTTCCCATAAGGAAAATACCTTCTAACAGGCATGGAAGAACAATTCTGATCACTGAAGATGGACAGTCAATGAGATGGAACTGCATGAACAGAATCAATTCAAACTGTCCTTGTCGTCTGTTAGCTCCCTTGATATATTTCTAGTTACTTTCTCAAAATATATCTCCCTTCTTTAAAATGAGGTGTAAGCCTTCCTTATATCAACCTCTTTAAGATCTCATTACTTTCTGAGACTTGTCAGCCACATGAAAATATTAAATAAAATTGTATCTTTCTCTTAATTTGTTCTTTGTCAGTTTAATTCATGTGTATTTTGAATCTAAAAGGGTAAAGTGAATGACTACCCTACCCACCCACCCCATCCCATTAACAGAAGGAAAGGGTAGGGAAAGTGGTTTTCTTTATTTTGACTCTCAAGTTATTTTGTAATTGTATTTTTGGGGTTCCAGTTTACCCTCTAGTCTCACAAGATGGTAGGAGGAAGGCTTGGATACTGCCTACAGACATCAGAAATACACAGTCAAAGGCAGATGGCTATTAACCTCTTCTCTAGAGCTGCCAATGGTCTGTGCCAGCACTCAGTAAAGACTTGTTCAAAATTATTTGCTGTCACCAGTTAGTTCTCATACCTAGGTAGGTCATGTGATTTTAAATAATGACATTTCCAAGTGTGTGGGCTGGTTTGGTATTTAATTACACAGATGATACATTTATCACTGAAAGGGAGCATGTCTGTAACATGAAGGGCTTGCTTGCTGGAGTTTATGTCCTGCCCAGTTCCCCACCACTGGCAAGCCCCACAGAAAATGAAACAGAGGACTCCATAAGATTATAAACTGACTGGCCCATTAGCTCAGGCTTCTTATTAGCTCTTAAACTTATATTAACCCATTATTCTTATCTATGTTAGCCACACGGCTCAGTAACATTTTTAGAGGGGCAGATCACATCTTGCTTCTTCTGTGATCTGGGCAGGAATGGGAGGAATGGGCTTCCTTCTTCCCAGAATTTTCCTGTTAACTTATAGAGATCACTATGTGATTTTCTTTGGGGCTTGCCAGCTGTGGGGTACCGGGCAGGACAGAAACCCCAACAAGCCAGCCCTCATGTTACGTGTCTCCATATACAGCCATCCAGTGAGGTAGATAGTAGAATTTTATTTTGAAATGTTCAGGATTAATGTGCTTGTCTGCTAAACCCAATGGGCCATGTAACTTCACAAAAAGATCTTTTTAGTGCTAGGGATTGAGTCTAGAGGTTTCATGTCTGGTAAGTAAATGTTCTACCACTGAACTACCCTGTCAGTCCCCAAATGAAGACTTGGTTTTGAATCAGGGTCTCACCATATAGCCCTGGCTGGTCTTGAACTTGCTATGTAGACCAGAGTGGCTGCGAACTCATAGAATTGACAGCTTCTGCCTCTGGGATTACAGGCATTGCTACCATGTTTGGCAGATGAATTAATTCTATTCAATTCCAAAACATGCCACAGTTACTTTTATAAAAGGAAAATATAATTATTAGATTTTTTTTCTATTTTATGTTCTTCAACCGGGTAATTTCTTTTAATGTACAAAATAAAAATTGAAACTGTGTCTGGGTGTGATGGAGGACACCTTTAATCTTAGTACTCAACAGGCAGAAGCAATTGAATCTCAGTGATTCTGAAGCCAGCTTCATAGCAAATTCCAAGTCAGCCAGGGATATATAATGACACCTTGTCTCTAAATAAATTAGATCAAATGAAACCTCTTTAACTTGGCATGCAAATCATTATCAGTATTTGAATCATGCCTAATTTCTAGCCATTCCTAACAATACTTCTCCCTCCTCCTTGTATGATAACATATTAACTGTGGCCACATGATTTAATTTTGTTTCCTAGGAAAAAAATAATGTGCTCTGAAGTTAAGACTTTCTCCTCATTTTAATGAGTGTGATATTATCATCCTATGATAGGAGTAGAAGCATCTTGAGGTCACTGGTCATGTCTTTTCACATTCCTTGTAATGCACTGCTCAGTGCTAGACCCAAGATAGCATGCATGAAAGGCAAGTGGTTTTCCATAGAAAAACTTCAGTTGTTGCTAGGTTTTTGTTGCTGCTGCTGCTGTTTCCGTGCTTTTTCTTTGTCTTGGTGTTATCTTTCTGTGCATGCACCCTAAATAAAAGTACTAACGTGGTTTATCTTTTTAAAATAAATAGTTCAGGCTGGATGTCGTGGTACATACCTGTAATCCCAGCACACGGAAGGGTAAGTGGGAAGATCAGAAGTTCATGAACAACTTTGGCTCTGTAGTGAGTATGAGGTCAGTCTGGACTACATGGGACCCTGTCTCAACAAAGTAAAATAAAAATAATTCAGTAAAGCAAGACATAATTAATTGACACCATTTGGTTCACTTGTTTTTCTCTGCTAAAGGTTGACATAGAGGGACAAGGGTACCAAAGGACAGTTAGTTACAAAATTGAAACCTCAATGGATCCTTTGTAGCAGTAAATCAAAAAATAGCTTTTGTTGACGTATATTTCTATTTGATAGTCTAGTAAATTAACACAGACATGGCCTCAGGAATCAGCTTCTGCTTCCTCTTGCTATACTGGTTCCCTTAATGAGAAATATAGTTCTACTCTGTAGTAAAGTTCTAAAAAGAGGCACTTATGGAAAACAAGCATTTGTAACAAGATTCAACTTAGAAAATGAACTGCTGGCCCATGAGGAAACACACGTCTTTCATAAACTGCTCTGTGACAATGGGTGAAACTGCTCTGTGACAATGGGTGGGGTGTGGAGAAACACACACACACACAAGTATCAAGAGCACCATGAATGAAGCAAACAGACAGTATGTGTTAACTATTTGTTCAGAGGGGCAGGAGAAGGATTTCTTGCTAGGAATAGCTGCCTCCCAAGGTTTTAAAAGGGTACTCAGGAAATGCTCCACCAGCATACACACATATGTAGATCTATCCACAAAACTCATCATTTTTATACCTTCATTTCTCAAGGGCTATATAATGTCAAGTAAAATTATAACTTCATTCAGAGCAAGGTTTTTGTTTTCATATATCAATTTTGGCTAAGTCAAAGTAGCAAATCTGTACACATCAAGTAGCAAATCTGTTTGTTCAGTGGGAAGGCAAACGTTAGCTCTTGTTGGGAAGAGCTGCCTCCCAAGGTTTCAAACTGCATCAGAAAACGCTCCACCAGCACACACACACCCAGAACATCATTCCAGCCAACATACAGCCCCTTTGGCAGGATTTATCTGATCTCTAACTTCTGTGTCTTTAGAATCAAGGCACGCATAAAGATAACCCACTATGTGAGCAAATCAGGAGCTCAGGGCTTCTTCACTCTCACCTTCATGACACTAGATACCAAGAGACAGAGAGATAAACAGGTGGAAGGAAGACAATAAGAACTGGATAGGGTCTCCTGGGTTATTAAAGTCTGTATCTTTTGTTTCTATCTAAAGATTTACACATATATTGTGTCCATTTTCTTCACAATTACAACAGGTTGGTTGCTAAAAAAGAAACCTATATGGAGTCCTCATGGAGGTTTGCAAAACTTTTGTCAATTCAAAAACTATGAACAAGACAATATTTTATTCTTTTGACGATAAGACATAAAGTCTCTAGTACACACTTGAGACAAAAGCAGAGTAAAAGACAGGCTTTTAAGGCTTGCCATTTTGCTTCTTTGAAGTTTGAAAAAGAAAAAAACAGCAATATGTAGTAGCTACAAAGTAAATCCAAGGAGAATAGGCTGAGTACTGTTCTTTCTTCAACATGGTGTAATTACTAATAGAACAGAAAAAGAATTGCATGGAAAGTCCTCATATTCCATGATTTTCACTCATGGTGTGGCAATTAGAGCCCCCAGTAGCAAAGCAGCACATACACTTGAAGAGCAACAGCAAAATGGAGTCAACCATCAGAAAAGAGGACAGTCTAAATTTTTATCAGATTTAAGAATCAATTACCACAAGCTAACATAAACATTTCACAGAAAATTATTGAAGTCAGTACTCAAGTTTTCAAACATCCTGACTTTATTTTCAGGGGGAAATCAATGCTGGCCTCAAAGACCATTCATGGAATGTAGTTTATAGTCATAATTGGGTATTTTTGAAAATGTTTTCTCAAAAAAAACAGAAACTAAAATTTTTATTGAAAAACTGATCATTCTGGCTAATATTGACCTGAGAAATATTCCATATAAGCCTTATACAGTATGTGTTGTCCCAGCTACTCAGGAGGCTGAGGTGGGAGGATTGCTCAAAACTGGGCTTTGGGGCTAGCCCATGCAGCCAAGAAAAACTGAAAGACTTTATCTCAAAATAAGAAAAGGTGTTGCTGTTGCTCGGTGATGGAATTTGTGGTTTGTATGGACAAGGCCCTGGGTTCCATCCCTAGCCCCAAACAGAACTTGAAAATGAAATGTTTTTCCTGACTTATTCCTATTTCTTTAACAAATGAAAAACCACTATTCTTTGCAATCTATGTGTCAAGTCTGCAAACCCCTACATGTGCAGTTTGCTGAGAGCCCATTTGTCATATAGGAAAGGGGTGGGGGACCTCGTGTTCCCAATGCCATGACTTTATAGAACTGGTGTGATGTTCCCGCTTTTGATTCATAAACTGCAAACATAAAATTCAAAAAATAAGTATATTTCTCCTGATGATAGTACTCTTGACTTAGTTTCACTGGGAGACTAGGGAGACTTACAATGTGGGAGTTCCTGAGTCTCTGTCATTTGTCCTAGAGACTTTAAATGGAAAAATTGTTTTCTTTAATTTGTCACAACTTTACAGTCATACCCTAGAAAGGAAAAATGAATTTCAGAGCAACAAAAATAATTCAATCTAGAGAAAATTTCCTGGATTTCTGGAACTCGGTAATGCAATATTGGCAAGGTACAAAGTCCTAATGAAAGACTCCCGTGGGTGTCTTCCTTCGGGAGAGACCCCGTGCCCAAAGATCAGTCGAAAACACGCAGCCGGATGCAAACAGCAAGAGGTTTATTGGATACGCAGGTACCTGGGGCGACAAAGTCTCTAGAAGGACTTGCGCGCCTGCAGGTTGGGAGGTTTTGCTCTCTTCTTATAGGAGAGCAAAAAGCAAGGTTTACAGAAGCAAGATGCAGGGTGGTAAATTTTTAACCTAAATAACAATGAGGGGACTATTCAGCGGTTTACTGTTCCTCCTATCCTGCCCCCCCTTTCCTGGCTGGCGACCAGATGTCTGATTGCACAGCCCCTGACTCGTGAGAGCCCCGCTTTATACGTGACTCAGGCCTCGCAATCCTCTCTTCATCCCTTGAAGTCTTTGTTCCTACTCATGCCATTCCATAAATCTCCTGTCCTGCAGCCAGATAAGGCTGTCCTTGCTCTAATCTCAGGTGTCTTTGCTTAGCATTCCGGAGGCCCTGAGCTTGTTATTTGTGAATCCTTTGCAAAACGGTATAATTGTGGTTAAAACGAGTTGGGGTCCTTCACTAGCACCTAGGACTTATTTAATAGGGCATCTTACACGTTACTTAGATGAGCAACCATGAATGTTGTACTTTCAATCTCAAAATAAACAATACAGGGCTGACAAGATGGATCAATGGATAGAGGCACTTTTTGCCAAGCCTGATAACTTGAGTTCAACTCCAGGAACTGAGGAACCTGCCTGACTTCACTATAAATGTAGGAGCCATTGTGCTATGTTTTTGAAACAGTAAGTTTCTATTTACTGTGAGAGTTGAGTTGCTCTCTGTTTCCTGGAACCTGACTTTCCCCAACCTATGACCTTGATTTGTTTTTGAGAATACTCTAACCTCCATTATACTCCCTGATCCCTCCCTAATTTTATGGTGGGTAACCATATGATGCTTTTTTTAAAAGATTTTTGTATTTCCTTATTGCCCTATTGTCTTCCTTCTATAAAACTACTTGTGATTTTACCCTTAAAAGGTGGCCCAAGAGATGGATTTGGAACTGCTCTCTTTAACCCAATTTAGGAGGCAGTTTCTGGCCAGCTCTTGGCCTAATAAAAGTCAAGCGTGCTTCAAATTTGGCTCAAATTGCGCTAATGGTCTTGCCATTGGTACTAACATCTTCTGGAGACCACAGCAAGATTCAGACCACTCATCCAAATTTTAAACCCAGACCTTCACTCTGGATCCCTGGGGACTGGGAGGCTGACTTCAGAGGCATGTGCCTTGGGGCTTTTGAAGGCTCCAGGGCTGCCCTCTTTTAGTGGACTATCAGAGTGAAATTTCATGCTGAGAAAAATAGCAAGCATTTATGGAGGCCTCCTGGTGAGTTGTAGTCTGGTTCTGTTTTTGTGAGATTCCTAACTGGGACATGGAGGGGGTTACAAGGGCCCCCAATATTTTCCTGTTCAGGGCAAAATGAGACATTGCACTAATCACCTGAGGTTCTTGTTCTGGTTTTCTGTCCTGTTTGTCTTATCCTTGTACATCTTTGGTTTCATTTTACTGTTCTCTTTCTGCCTTTTGTACTTTCTGTGTTAATTGGTTTATTTTGGACTTAGGGCATCTGCACTGATGGACAGTATGGGTTATAAGATTAGAAAGTATAACAATCCTCTAACCTGTGTTCTAAAGGATTTTGGTAAAATTTATCTCCCTATTATTAAGGAAGATTATGATTATACATTACCAAACATCACCTCTGAACATTCTGTGAAACTGAATGACCTACTTTTGGGGTTGACTGGCCCTCCCAGAGTACTTTTGATTCTGAGATGGCCTGGGCAGTGGTTAATACCCCCCTTAGTAAGCCCAGTCACCCAGATTAGATTGGATACAACTTGCCTTGGGCAGAAGCAACTTTCAACCCACTCCACTGGATGAAGACAACAAGCAAGGCGGCCAAGCCCTGGTTGACAACATATGGACATTTATATGTCCTGTAGCAGAGACCAACAAGCCCCACTGAAGACCATTCTGCAGGACTCAGGAGGAAGAACCCTTTCTTCCTCCATATAACCATCTTTATCTTCTCCCCTCCTCACTTCAATCTCCACCTTTGTCACCATGGTCCCTACCACCAAGGCCTCACTATGCCCCCATCTATACCTACCCCTACCTCACCACTTAGTTCTTCCCTACCTCCACCTATCCCACCCAGCTTTTCCCTACTTCCCCCTGTCTTTTCCCTCCCCACATCCACCAGAGAGTCCCATATGGCCCTCATGACTTCTCCTCTGATTCTGGTTCTGGGGTGTACCTCCTCTAGTCCTAGATCCTCTAAAATCATTTCCTGACAATCTTTACCTGTATGCCCCTTTCTCCACCACAGATCTCTATATCTCAAAGAGGCAGAACCCCCTTTCAGCACTAGCCTTTATTCCTTAATTTATCTAATTGATTCTTTTTCAATCATCTCCCTATATGAGATGACTGTCAGTAGATTCTTCATACCCTCTTCACTATCAAAGAAATGAAATAGATTCTCATGAAAGCAACTGAAGTACTTTCCAGAATAGCTTTGATGACTGATGACCCCAGGGCAGTGGCAACTGACTGTGCTCTGCAAAATGGAGACCTAATGGGTCTACAACACAGAGAGAGGTAGGCAGTCACTCAGTGACTACCATCAGGTTCTGTTAGAGGGAATGAACTACCAGAGGCCTTTTGAAAAAACTAGCTCAGCTGGCTATAGAGTTTCAAAAAAAGAAAGCTCAAGTTTGCTCACCCCCAGTTACTTGTTGGGACATGAGTTGAGAGAAGGGAAAAGACTGTTGTCCCAGACCCACAAAGCAGCCATACTGCAAATCCCAACCCCAACCACCAAGAAACAAGTTTGGGAATTTCCAGCTGTTGGATATTGCTGTCTTTAGATACCTGGATTCACTGAAATTGCCAAACTCTTGTACTGTGACCAGGGACAACCCTTTGGGTGTTGGACTGAGAAACATGAATAAACCATTGGGAACTTAACAGATGCTCTGGTACAGACCCCCATACTAACTCTCCCTGATATCTCCAAGCCCTTTCTTCTGTATGGCCATGAAAGAAAGGGTATTACTAAAGGAACCCTGACTCAGACCCTGAGTCCCTGGAAAAGGTCAATAACTTACATCTCAAAGAGACTGGATCTTCTAGCCTCTTGAGGGCCCCACTGTTTAACAGCCATCACAGGCACTGCAATTCTTGTAAAAAAAAAAAAGCTGACAAGCTCACATTGAGACAGATTCTAACTATAACAACTCCACACACTGCGAAAGCCCTGCTGAGAGATGCCACTAATGAATGCATGTCTAATGATCACCTGACCCGTACCAGTACCAGTACTAGTACCAAGTCCTCCTTTTAGATAAAGACAGAATGACTTTTGATACATCCTTGGCCATTAATACTGCCAACCTACTGCCAGAGGATGAACCTAAGAAGCCCATCCATGACTGCCTGAAGATGTTGAACATCATCCAAGGTGTGCAACCTCACTAACAGACAATTCTCTCACTACCAAGGATGCAGATCCCTATATGGGTGGCAGTAGCTTCATTCAAGAAGGAACCAGGAATGCAGAGGTGGCAGTAGTTACAGCCAGAAAGAGGTCATTTGGACATAAGCCTTATCCAGGGGGACATCTTCCCAGAGAGCAGAAATAATTGTTTTGAAACAGGCTTCAAGATGGACTGAAAAAAAGGTGAACATATACACAGACAGCCAATACACTTTTGCCATGACTCATGTTCACGGACAGATATATAATCAGGGGGGCTTACTCACCTCAGAGGGGAAGACTTAAATATTAACATAAAATTGTCCAGCTGCTAGAGATCATCTCTCTACCAGCTGAATAATTAGCCATTATTCACTATCCAAATTCAAGGTAACAACAATCATTCAGATCAAGTTTCCAAAGAGGCTGCTCTCAGGGAGCCCAAAACCCCAGACTGTTCTGGAACTATCTGATGTCCATGAGCCCCCAATCTGCCTTGATGAAGATGTTCCTGAGTGTGATCCAGAAGAGATCAAGTCACATTCTGACTTGCAGGCTCAGGAGAGCCACAATGGATGGTGGATCTTGTCTGATAGAAGAATTTGAATGCCAGAGGTATTGAGCCCAAACTGGCTAACTGCCTTGCATTATATCACACCATACCCTTGTCACTTAAGAAGATCTCAGAACTCCCTTCATTTCTGACTCTCTGGACACACACACACACACACACACACACACACACACACACAAGATAAATACAAAGAACATACTTCCCAGAGGACAATGGAGTCAAGGTAGAGTACCTGATGAATTTTGGAAAATAGACTTCATTGAAGTCAAGTCAGGACTGTATGACTACAAATATCTGTTGGTCTTTATCAATACTGTCAGAAATTGGGTAGAGGCCTTTCCACCCTGAACAGAAATGACCCAAGTGGTAGCTAAGAAATTAATAATGGAGATTATTCTAAGATTTGGTCTCTTTATACTGGGATCTCCAGCAGATAGGGCTGTGGCAGAGCCAGTCCTGCCCATCTCTCCCTGAGGCTAAGCAGGATGGTGGGTGTCAATGACCCAGACCTCCCTGCTTGGTCACTAGAGAAAAACACACTGAGTCGGGAGTCTTGTCAAAGCAGAATCTCATTTAATTGTATCAGGCAGAAACATATATAGGGTTTTGATAGGGGGTAGGAGTCTTGGGATGGGGTGAGGTGCGTAAGGAATAAGGGTTAAGAGTATTCTGCCGTGTTAGTGGTGACTGGGCAGAAGCAGATTTAGGACAGGCTGTTCTGAGTCACTCATATGCAGAAGTCATGGCCAAAGAAAGGTCACCAAACTCAAGTTAGGCTCAGGAAGCTACACTGGGCCTCACATCTGGGTCTCATGAATCCCAACATCCCTATATCTCCAAAACATCAACAGTCTGACTTTTATGGCCAAATTATCTCAATTATCTCAATTGCTCACTAAAGTTTTTTTTAACATAAATTGGAAATTTCATTGTATGTATCATCCTCAGAGCTTAGGAAAAATAGAGAGAATAAATAGAACTTTCAACATTTTAACTAAATATACTCTTGAAATGGGTGCCTTTTTTAGAGTCTGATGTATCCCCTATGAAGAAAAGTTCACCCTGTATGAAATAGTCTATGAGTATATATCAGACTGTTAGCAAATTGCCCCAATCTAATCTCTTGAGTCCTTAAAAGGATTGCAATTAATTTTGGATAAGATTATCCCTCAGGTCCAGGCTGCTCAACCTATTGGATACTGTCCACCTGATTACCTGTTCCAAAACAGAAATGCTGTATTAGTCCCACACTTCAAAACTGACTGGCTTAAACCTATATGGAAAGAACCTCAAACCATGATTCTCTGTACTCCTACAGTTGTTAAAGTCACTGGTATTTCTGTCTGAATTCATCATTTACTCCTCAAGAAAGCACATGAAGAACCCACAGAAGATGAGCCCAACCCCCAAAGGTGGAAAGTGATTGAAAAAAAAATCAAATTTTCTAAGGTTTGACTATATAACATAACGTTGTGTTCTTGCTGTTGAAATTTGCATCATGATTGTCCTGTCATTATTAATTTTGTTGTTTTATTTTCAATCTATGCAATCATAATCTAAGTGCATCTTGACAGAAGAAATAAGAAACATCCTTATCATAGGAAATGGCCTTATATTGGCTTGCCATGAAAAAGATGGCCTTTATTCACCAGAGCCCACAGTTTGGACAAAAAAAGGGGAACAAATAGTCTTTAGCCAGATGGATGAAGGATACTTGTGATGAGCTAATCTAACTGTCTAATCCCAACACAATAACACAGATTTCAGCATAATTAATATCTTTAAAGGGTTCAGATAATGGAAATTACAGGTGTGTTAAAATAAGAAGGAGAAGGGAATATTTATTAATCACTTCAATTGAATTTAATGTACCCATAGTAACCTTGTCTATAGCAAATAATGTGGAACATAATCTCTGGGTCTATTCCATACTAAAAGCCAATGAGAAAACTCCTTCTGTGTCAGAGGAGATCCTCTGTTCCTGGGCTTTTAAAAACAACTATATAGCGAATTAGGGGTTTCTTATAAAAGATATATAAGGATAATGAGGATCAAATGGAACATGCCCCTATTAATGTTTTAATGACTGTGGCTGATAGTCCATTGATAATGTCTTTTTCCTCCACTATTTATGTTTATGCTAGCAAATTGCCCCAATCTAATCTCTTGAGTCCTTAAAAGGATTGCAATTAATTTTGGATAAGATTCTCCCTCAGGTCCAGGCTGCTCAACCTATTGGATACTGTCTACCTGATTACCTGTTCCAAAATCACAGGGCCGGATGGTTTTAGTGAAGAATTTTACCAGAACTTCCAAAAACAGCTAATACCTGTACTCCTCAAAGTGTTCCACATAATAGAAACAGAAGGAACATTGCCAAACTCCATTTATGAGGCTGCAGTTACCCTGATACCAAAAACACAAAGACTCAACCAAGAAAGAGAATTACAGACCAGTCTCACTCGTGAACGTAGATGCAAAAATACTCAATAAAATACTGACAAACCGAATTCAAGAACACATCAAAAAATTCAACCACCGTGATCAAGCCTGCTTTATCCCAGAGATGCAAGGATGTTTCAACATACAACAATCTATCAATGTAATTCATCATATAAATAAACTGAAAAAAAACTGTATGATCATCTCATTAGATACTGAAAAAGCATTTGGTAAAATCTAACACCCCTTCATAATAAATGTCTTGGAGAGACCAGAAATGCAAGGAACATATCTAAACATAATAAAAGCAATGTGCAGCAGGCTGACAGCCAGCATCAAATTAAATGGAGAGAAACTCAAAGTGATTCCACTAAAATCAGGAACAAGACAAGGCTGCCCACTCTCTCCAGATCTATTCAACATAGTTCCTAAAGTTCTGGCTAGAGCAACTGTTATTCCCCCGGGGAACTACATTTCCCAGGAGGCCCCTGTGTACAGTGTCGGCCACCTAACTCGGAAGACTTCATTTCCCAGAAGCACACGCACCTAGTGTCCAACACAAAGCCCCTCCACCCCCCCACCCCGCGTGCAGACACAGAACATAGCATTTGGGGTCCCCTTTAAAAAGCAAGGCGCGGGATTCCCACCCTCTTCTCTTTTTCTGCCCCTCCCTTCACGGTCTGGCACATCCCCATCCCTCCCTGTAATAAACTCATACACGTGGGTTTGTTTGTACCTCGCTGTTATCTTTCGATTCTGCAGGAAAGAACATTATTGGGGCTGGAGAGATGGCTCAGTGGCTGAGACCATTGCCTGCTCTTCCAAAGGTCCTGAGTTCAATTCCCGGCAACCACATGGTGGCTCACAACCATCTGTAATGAGGTCTGGTGCCCTCTTCTGGCCTGCAGACATACACACAGACAAAATATTGTATACATAATAAATAAATAAATAAATAAATAAATAAATATTTTTTAAAAACACCTAACAAATGCAGTTTAGGAAAGAACATTATTGGTGCCGTGACTCGGATATTCGCCTGCCCAGGATTTCCACCCGGGGCCAGAACTCCGGCTTCAGGCGCTGCCCGGGGCTCCAACCACCCTCCCAGGGCACGATCAGAACCAGGACCTCCTCTACAATGACCCACGTGTTCCATCTGCCTGGGTGGGCTCCTACGAACAACACTGGCTCCTAATCTTGAGTGTCCCCTTCTGGCCAGCTTAACCGACTCTTTTAACCTGGTGCTTCTAGGGTTGGGGGAACTTCCCCCAACCGCGGGCCTTCAGGGCCTGGGGTCCCTTCGCTAGCATTCATTCCCAGCTTGTCCCCTTTTCTAAGCCTGTGCCTGGGATGGCTTGGCCATGGCCAGCTCCCAGCACACCTGCAGCTGGAGGTTCGGGGTCTCCAGTTTCTGCTCTTTCTCTTTTTTCATTCCTTTCCTTCCTTCTTTTCGTTCTCACGGCCGCTATGGTGCAGTTGGCTGCTACGGTGCAGCACGGCCTCTGCTTTCTGAGCAATCTGCCCAGATTCAGCTAGGCCATTAGCACCCCTCTTGGGAAATGTGGACATCCATTCTTGAGTCCTGAGTGTTCACTCCATCTGCATCTCACCTTAACAGGGAGCTGTTCTCATTGTAGGCTTGAGGTGCCACGGGTTTTTGCAGGTGTTTTCATGGCCTTAGCTATGGGGAGCAAACCATTCAAAACTATCACTCCAAACTCCCCACTGGGATGTCTTTTGGATGCTCTACAACCTCATGCTTTTATGCCTTCCCAACAGATTTCTACACTTCTCTGTCTTTGCTCCAAGAAATGGCCCCAGTATACCTTAGAGGGAAACTGCAAATGGCTGCCTAATGGCGCCATCGACCCAGACATTTTATGGGAGTTATCAAATTATTGCAATCGTACAGGCAGATGGAAAGAACTCGCCTATGTCTCTGCTTTCTTCTATATGGCCCTTAAGACTGACCCCTCTGTCCTTGCTCACTGTTCACCTGCTCATATATTTCTAGCTATGCCATCTCCTCTGGAACCCTCTGCTCCTGCTATGGACCCAGCCAATGAACCTCCATCTCTCCGACCTCGGAGAGCTACCTCCTCCCGCTCTACCCGGTCAAGCACAACCTCACATAAACCTTCCAGTCCTAGGTCTCCGAAAGTCCCACGTAAATCTTCCAGGCCCATTCATAAGGAAACCTCACCTAACCTTTCTTCTTCTAGGCCCCCCAAAACCCCACGCAAATCCTATTCAAAATCTAAAGAAGCCTCACCTAAACACCCTTCTCCCTCTTCTGTCAGCAGGTCTCCATCCAGCTCCTATATGAAGCAGCTCTCGGCTCTCTGCATGAGCCCCTTCTCCATCCTGTTACCAAACCCTTCCAGAGACTCCAACAGGCACTTATCCAGGCTTCAGGTCTTCTTCTTCCAGATTTCACTTGCCCTTTTTCTCTTTATGTAGCAGAGAAGGAGGGATATGCCCTTGGGGTCTTAGGACATCAATTGGGACCTTCTATTACACCTGTAGCATACCTGTCAAAGAAGATGGACCTCACCATTCGGGGCTGGGCACCCTGCATACGTGCTTTGGCAGCTGCTGAGCTTTTGATTCCTGAGTCAAAGAAACTAACTTTTGGGGCACCTACCACAGTCTTCTCTCACCATAATCTGTCCAACCTCTTAACTTACAAAGACTAGCAAACCCTACCCCCTTCTCGAGTTCTTTCCCTTCAGGTGGTGCTGGTAGAAGATGCCAGTCTCACTTTTCAATGTTGCCCACCTCTTAATATCTCAACTCTTCTACCTCACCCTAATGTTAATGATTCCCCATCCCACTCCTGCAATGAGGTCCTAGAGGACCTACTACCCCACCCCTCACATATACAGGAGGGCAAACTGTCCCAGGCCACTTATACCTGGTACACAGATGGAAGTTCCTTTTTATGTGATGGGACTCGTAGAGCAGACTATGCCATAGTATCAGATATGGAGATAGTTGAGGTGAGGGCACTCCCTGCCCACACCACTAACCAGCAGGCTGAGCTGATAGCTCTCACCCGTGCCTTTCAGTTAGCGAAGGGACAATCTTTAAATGTTTACACAGACTCTAAATATGCCTTTCATATCCTCCTGTCCCACGCAGCTATCTGGAAGGAGCGCAGGCTTCTCACAACAAAAGGAGGATCCATAACTAACTCAAATATTATGGACCTGTTAAAAGTCTCCCATCTCCCTAAAGTTATAGGAATTATTCACTGTCGGTCTCATCAGTCTGACAGTTCCATTATTTCCAAGGGAAATAATCGGGCTGACAGAGCAGCTAAGACAGCAGCACTCCAGAGCCCAGATCTACTTCAGTCACCTCAGGGGGTCCTTATAGTGCAGCCCACACTCTCATAGACACCTCCTGACACCCAACAGATCCTGTCATACCTACATCAGTTCTTTCATCCTAATAATGAAGCTCTACTTCATTTTGTTAAGGCTCACCTCCAACCCACCCCTGAGGACATAAGGTTCCTAAAGGCTATCACTACCTCTTGTCAGATCTGTCAAAAGTCAGATACTAAGACCAAATACCATAGCTTCTCTTTTCCTACCCACCAGGCCAGAATCTCCCTTCCAGGAACTGATTAGCAGCTGTATTTTACACATATACCTACAGTCAAAAGAATTAAATATCTCCTGGTTTTGGGGACACAATGTCTGGGTGGGTTGAAGCCTTCCCCAGTACTAATAAGAGAGCCCAGGCAGTCTCTGATGTTCTTCTCCAAGAAATCGTTCCTCAGTTTGAAATTCCAACCTCTCTTCAGTCAGATAATGACCCTGAGTTCACTTCCCAGATTTCTCAAAACTTGTCCAAGGCTCTCAATATTCCCTGGCATTTCCATATCCCATACCACCTTCAGTCTTCAGGGAAGGTAGAACGGGCTAACCGCACTTTAAAAGATACCCTTACTAAAATGTCACAGTAACTTCACCTTGACTGGGTAAAACTCTTACCTCGGGCCCTCCTTAGTCTTAGGGCCCTCCCAAAGAGCCCTCTTTCCATCTCACCCTTCGAACTCATGTATGGGCGGCCCGTTCTAGTTCCCAGCCTCTCACCTAAAACTTCCCCACTTCCTGATCACCTACTTACCCCACTACTAACCCACTTACGTGCCTTACTGTGGGACTTTACTGACCACTCATTACCTCAACTGTATGCTAACCCATGCCCACCACCGATTAAAATAGGAGATCAGGTATTATTTTCTCCCCCAGGTCAACGTCCCTCACCCTTTTCCCTTAAATGGCAGGGTCCCCTCAGGGTAATTTTTTAACTCCTACAGCTGCCAAGTTCGAGGGAATTCCTCACTGGATTCACCTGTCACATCTTAAACCATTTACTCCTCCAACTCAAGACAATCCTTCATACACAGTAACTCAGACAGGACCTTGCTCTCTTAAATTCCAGAGGACACCAAGTTCAGCTCCCCTTACTCCAGTCCAAGGAAAATAGAGGTCCTGTCCTTCACTCAACTCTCTTGTGCCAACATACTTTCCTTTCTCCTCTTTTTCCTATGTATGACCTCTCCAAATACCTTCAATGTCATGTTTAAATTTCCAAATAACCACTCAGCTGCTGTTACAGGAATCATCAGGCATGGAGCCAAAGATTACAAAACTGTCATAAGCCCAGGTGGTAAGCAAAACCTTAACGGGTCCCTTGACATGACAGGCCCAACACTGACTGCAGCGGTATCCCCTGGATGTTGAGGTAATGCCCAAGATACACTCCAGTACCCTAATCATACAGGGTGAAAAAAAAATTTATATCTTTTAAGATATTTTCTTTAAGCTCCAAGGAGCCAGCTTGACCCACCTAAACGGACCAAACTCAAGATGGAATAAGCATCATTTAATTTAATTTTTTATCCCCCCCACCTCAAATCTCCCCTTTAATTATTTTTCCTCTCCTAACGTGACTTGTTTTCCAGTTCCTCAAGACCCAGAGATATACGGTTTCAATCAGCCATCACAGGACGCCAGCAGACAGGACATGATCAGCAGGATGCATCAGACACCCCGAACCCCTCGACACCCACAAACTCAGCAGGAAGCAGTTATGAGAGACCGGGCTACGCCCCCATTCTCTACTCATTAAGACCCTCAACCCCCCCAATTTTTTTAACAAATCAAAAAGCATGGAAATGTTATTTCCCCGGAAACTACATTTCCCAGGAGGCCCCTGTGCGCAGGCACAGAGGCCATAGCGTCGCTCGCCCGGGGAACTACATTTCCCAGGAGGACCCTGTGCGCAGGCGCAGAGTACAGCGTAGTTCGTCTGACTCGGAAGACTTCATTTCCCAGAAGCACACGCACCCAGCGTCCAACGCAAAGGCCCCCTGCATGCAGAGGCAGAACATAGCTGCTCCCTCCCCACGTCTGGGCCCATTTGGCAGGGTCCCGTGGCTGCCTGCGCTCTTCCTCATCTGCGGCCCACCAGCGGCGGTCGCCCCCAAGGTGCCGGTTGGCAAGTCCAGCCATTGCTCTCATCAGCGCGGTGCCCTTCGCCACCGAGAACTAACCAGAACTAGCCAAGCGCAGCGCACATTCGGGGTAGGGCTTGGCAATCGCAACAGCAACAACAGCAAGCGGGAGGTCGGGCTGGGTTGAGGAAGCCCGAGAAGGCAGAGTTTTCTGTTTTGTTTTGTTTTGTTTTGTTTTTTTCCCGCTCCTGCATGGGAAAAGAGACAGGGGAGGGGCAGACTGCCGCTATCATCTGCACCATGCTCTGTAATAAAAATGGTTTTACCCAGAGTAGGGGAGTTCCCTGGATAAACTCTCCTGGTGGCCATTCCAGGAAGCAGACTGCTTGTCTCTCGGATTTCCACGGCTTGGTCTGCAACTTCTCTCTAAAGTTAGAGCAAAGGTCAGCGGTGGATACTTACTGTTTACTGTCCCATGGTACCAGGTTTAGACTCGAGTACAAACAGAAACGAAACAAAATACAAAAACAAAGACATGACAAAGACAGAACAGACAGCCGGCAACGCAAAGCGCAACTTCGGTGACAAACCGAAAGTACAAATTCAGATGGCTGCAGCAAACCGAAAGTACAAATTCAGATGGGGAAGTGAAAACTTCACCCTACAGAGGCACGAATTTCTAGGATTCGTGCTGAGCCCCTCGGGCTCTCCAGATCCCTGGGGCGTCCCCCAGGGTAGCTGGTGAGAAGTTCAGAGCCCGTCAGCTCCTCCTCAAAGCCGCCCAGAATACAGATGACCGTGGATCCAGGTCTACGGAATACAAACGCTTGCGCATTACATCAAATTAATACATCAAGACAGCAAACAGACAAGGACAAATAGTGGCTAGCCAGCTTACCTCCCAGTGGGTTGTCGGATGGGTTGGGCAGAGATCTTCCACAATCCCACTTCTGACACCAAATGAAAGAGCACCCGGAGGGTGTCTCACATGCGTGGAGACCCGTGCCCAAGAACCAGGTCCGAGAGCCACTGGATGCAAGAACAAGAGGCAAACTTTAATGTTCACAGGCCTGTGGGTGCTGCAGTCACATGGAGAACTGAGCACCCCGAGCTACTTCTTGGGGTATCTTTATATAGGCAGAAGCAATGTTACAGAAGCAAAAGCGCGGTTACAGGGGTCCCATTGGCCAGTTTGAATGAGGCGAGGGGTGAATTTGAGGGCAGGCCTCGTGGTCCTTGGCCTGGATCAAAGAAACCAGATAACTGACCTGTCCCTATCTCAAGCATATATGGTCAGTCTTTTGAAGTCTTTATTTCCCCCTAGGCCAGATGTCTTGACCATAAATTCCCTGTCCTGCAGCCTGATAAGGCTGTCCTGGGTATCTCACCAGGTGTCTGACCATAAATCCTCTGTACTGCAGCCTAATAAGGCTGTCCTCGTTCTGACCTCAGGTATCCTGCCTTGCTCAGCATTCCGGGGGCCCTTCTCTGAACTGAGCTTCTTTGCAAAATGACATAACTGTGGCTAAAATGAGTTGTGGTCCTTCAATATGACAGTATACAAATGTGACCCCAAAAACTCTACTAGGGATCTCCTACAACTCATAAATACCTTCATTAAGGTGGCAGGATACAAGATCAACTCAAAAAAAAAATCAGTAGCCCTCCTATATACAAATGATAAAGAAGTTGAGAATGAAATCAGAGAAAAATCACCTTTTACAATAGCCAAAAATAACATAAAATGTCTTGGGGTAACACTAACCAAAAAAGTGAAAGACAAGTGTATGACAAGAACTTTAAGTCTTTGAAGAAAGAAACTAAAAAGATACCAGAAAATGGAAAGATCTCCCATGCTCCGGGATAGGTAGGATAAACATAATAAAAAATAGCAATCCTACCAAAAGCAATCTATAGATTCAATGCAATCCCCATCAGAATTCCAACACAATTCTTCACAGACCTTTAAAGGACAATAATCAACTTCATATGGAAAAACAAAAAAATCTAGGATAGACAAAACAATCTTGTACAATAAAGGAACTACTGCAGACCTCACCATCCCTGACATCAAGCTCTATTAAAGCGCTACAGTAATGAAAACAGCCTGGTATTGGCATAAAAACAGAGAGGTTGATCAAAGGAATTGAATCAAAGTCCCAGATATTAATCCACACACCTATTAACACCTGATTTTTGACAAAAAAGCTAAAATTATACAATGGAAAAAGAAAGCATCTTCAACAAATGATGCTGACATAACTAGATGTCAACATATAGACGAATGAAAATAGATCCATATCTATCTCCATGTACAAAACCCCAGTAGCACAGACACTGAGGGCAACAATAAATAAATGGGACCTCCTGAAACTGAGAAGCTTCTGTAAAGCAAAGGACACAGTCAAGAAGACAAAAAGGCAGCCTACTGAATGGAAAAAGACCTTCAACCCCACATCAGACAAAGAACTGATCTCCAAAATATATAAAGAACTCAAGAAATTAGACATCAAAATTCTAAATAACTCAGTCAAAAAATGGGGTAGAGAACTAAACAGAATTCTTAACAGAAGAATCTCAAATGGCCAAAAGACACTCAGGTAAATGATCAGCATACTTAGCCTTAAGGGAAATGCAAATCAAAACAACTCTGAGATTATATCTTACACCTGTAAGAATGGCTAAGATCAAAAACAACAATGATAGCTTATGCTGGAGAGGATGTGGAGTAAACGGAAGACTCATCCATTGCTGGTGGGAATGCAAACTCATACAACCATTTTGGAAATCAGTATGTTGATTTCTCAGAAAATTTGGAATCAACCTTCCTCAGATCCAGCAATACCACTTGGTACTGGCATATATATCCAAAAGATGCTCAATCATACTGCAAAGCCATTTGTTCAACTATGTTCATAGTAACATTATTTGTAATAGCCAGAACCTGGAAACAACCTAGATGCCCTTCAACTGAAGAATGAATAAAGAAAATGTGACACATTTACACATTAATGAACTACTCAGTGGAAAAAAAACAATGACAAGATGCAAATAGATGGAACTAGAAAACACCATGTTGAGTGGAGTAACCCATACCCAAAAAAGATGACTATTGTACGTACTCACTCTTAAGTGGAAACTAGTCATAAACAAAGCCTATAGTTCATGATCCTAGAGAAGCTAAGTAAAAAGGTGAACCCCAAGAAAAACATATGTAAATCCACCTGGAAAGTCAAAATAGACAAGATCACCAGACAAAATTTGGACTATAGAGGTTGGGGTAGATGGGAGGGTGGAAAGGGTAGAAGAAGGAAGAAGGCAAGGAGTGAGGAGAACTTGGGGGAATGGGATAGTTGAGATAGAGAAAGGACAGATATGAGAGCAAGGAAAGAGATATCTTGATTGAAAGAGCCATTATGGGGCTATCAAGAAACCTGGTTCTAGAGAAATTCCCAGGAATCCACAAGGATGACACTAAGTAAGACTCTAAGCAATAAAGGAGGTGGTGCCCAAACTGGCCTTGCCCTGTAGTCAAACTGATGAATACCTTAAATATCACCAAAGAACCTTCATCCCACAACTGATGAAAATAGAGGCAGAGACCTGCATCGGAGAACTGGACTGAGCTCTCAAAGTCCAGTTGAAGAGTAGAAGAAATGAGAATATGAGCACAGGGGTCAAGACCATGATGGGGACACCCACTGAAACAGTCTACTTGAGCTAATGGGAGCTCACCAACTCCAACAGGACTGGGAAGGAAGAAGCGTAGGAACAAACTAGTCCCTCTGAATGTGGTTGACAGTTGCATGGGTGGGGCAGACTGAGGGGCCACTGGCAGTGGCACTGGTATTTATCCCTAATGCTTGTACTGGCTTTTTAGGAACCTACTCTCTTTGGAGGGCTACTTTGCTTAGCCTTGATATAGTAGGGAGGGCCTTGGACCTTCCCCAAAGCAATGTGCCTTACCTTCTCTGAAGAGTGGATAGTGGTGGGGTGAAGGGTATGTGGAGGGAATGGGAAGAAGGGAGGGAGTGGGAAGTTGTATTTGTATGTATAATGAAAAAGATTGTTTCCTTCAAAATAAAATAAAACAAAATAAAATAAAACACTGAGAAAAGCCTAAAAAAGTCATGTTATTGCCGTTTTACTCAGCAAATTTTACAATCTGTTAATAGAATTACAAGAGCTCTCCCTGAAAATTGCAATGATTTCTTTCGTTGTATCCCACAATAGCTGCCACTACTGCACCCCTTCCATTACCTGTCCCAGGACTTGTTTTTGGACTACAAAGTAAGGTCTCTAAAATAGCCTATCTAATTTCAAACACTACTAATATTAGAGAAAAATATTAGCAGAAATTAATCAAAAAAAATAGAAAATTGGGAACCTCTGTTCTTCAAAATAAACTACTACAGATTACCTGTTACTTAAACATAATCCTGGTTGCCAGTAATTTACTGGAATGTGATGTTTTAATATCTCTGATTTCTCTCACACAATTGACAACCAATTTGATAATATTTGTAAAGAAATAGTCAAAACCTCTCAAACAAATTTAAACTGGCTAATATAGTTAAAATGGTTCTCTCCATTGGCCCTCTAATATTACTGATACTAATTTATCATAATCAGGCTCTGTGACCACCAATGTGCCCCTAACTTGATCACTCATCAGATAAACAATTCTAGAATCATTGCTGCTCAGCAATAGTATTAAGTCATCCCCCTGTTAGGAACATTTCTTAAGACAAGCCTCTTGGCCAATGCAAGTAATTCCAATTAGACGAAATAAGACCTAATTAAAAAAATGCCCAGGTTTAATGTGCTCCCTGGTGGCACCGGGAAAGCATGGTGGGTGGGGGGGGGGAGAGAGAGAGAGAGAGAGAGAGAGAGAAGAGGAGACCACGTGTACATTCTCTGGAGAGAGGGGCAGTTTAAGTAGCGTGTGGGAGTGGTCTTGACCCTCCCTGGGGAGGGGGTCACTACTTGGTGGGCTTTCTCAGAGGTGGAGTTTGGACTAAGGCAACTCCCAGGGGAGGGCGCTTGAAATGGAGCTTTCCACCCAACATTCCAAAGATGGATGCCAGGGCCTGGGATGAGGCCCCCAACTCTAATATTCCAGACTCTTTGTATAAAGGTGTTAGGGAGCTGGGGTGATGCTTTTGACCAAACACCCTCTATCAAAGATGATAGGGAAACATAAGTCAAGGAGGGAATAAGAAACTTGCCTGACTCCATTATAAATGCAGGAGCCATTAGGCTATGTTTTTCAAACAGTAAGTTTCAGTTTACTGTGAGAGTTGAGTTGCTCTCTGTTTCCTGGAACCTGACTTTCCCCAACCCATGATCTTGATTTCTTTTTGAGAATACCCTAACCTCCCTTATACTTCCTGATCCCTCCCTAAGTTCATGGTGGGTAATCACATGACTTTTTTTTAAGGTTTTTGTATTTCCTTATTGCCCTATTGTCTCCCTTCTATAAAACTACTTGTGATTTTACCCTTAAAGGGGCCCATGAGATGGATTTGGGACTGCTCTCTTTAACCAGACTTAAGAAGTAGTAGCTGGCCAGTTCTTAGATACACCCCAGTAAAAATCAAATTTGCTTCAAATCTGGCTCAAATTGTGGTAGTGGTCTTATTCTTGTCATTGGGATTAACAGAATCTACATGGTGAAAGGAGAGATCCAACTCTGCAAGTTGTCCTCTGACATCCACACAGGCACCATGACATACCACTGTTCAAAATGAATAAATAGTATTATAAAAAATAATAAACACACAACATGCTTAAGAAGTTTCATGGCAAGCTTCAATTTCTACTCACAGTGCAAAAAACCCATGGTTAATAGAAGTAGGGAGAGTAAAAACAAATCCCATAACTCTCCTAAACAGTCTAAGGCAAGCAAAGCATAACTAATGGTGATCTCACCTGCCCCCCCCCCACTCCATGTTGCTAGCATTCAAGCATTATGCTGGTCTGCCCACATTACCTGGCAGGATACACTTGTCAGTACTCAATTAAATACCTAGCAACCCCAGAGTCTTATGGCCATGCATGCATTGTTAGTATTCAGGCAAATACTTAGCCCAGGGGCCTACCTCTGTACAACACTATCTAATCTATGCACATGCACTGTATGCCTGTGTAAGCCTTTCCTCACTCTCTCTTCCCCCACTACCCTTTCTGAGCCAGACTTCCACAACCCCTCTTTAATAAACTTCCACATGGGTTTGTCGTACATTGTGGTTCATTCTCACCACCTCTAAACTACAACATGTATGCTAAGGAAAAGTGTAGTTGGCTGGTTTTTACTCTTTTGAGGGACTGCCACTCAGTTATCAAATAAATTACACACAGAGGCTTATTCTTTCTTATAAAAGCCTGACCTTAACTTGGTTTACTTCTAGCCAGCTTTTCTTAACTTAATTTATACTATCTATCTTTTGCCTCTGGGTGTTTACCTTTCTCTGTTCTGTATACCTTTACTTTACTTCTTATTCTGTGTAGCTTATTCTTGCTGTGTAGCTGGTGGCTGTGTGACTGGGTGGTAG